CAGATTATTTGAACATTCTTAGATATGCTCGAACGTCCTGTTTCATGGTACGCACACACACAGAGATTAATTAATGTAATTTAATATTAAACAAAGGCTAAATTTGACCAAAATCACATTTTCTAATGATAACCTGACGGATGCCCAACTCATCGCATTAGGGTGAGCAATATGCTCCCCAATAGTCCCTATTCCCAAGCACGAGAACATCGGGTTCCCGTACCCAAGCAAGACTCCTCGATTTCTGAGTGGGTGAGTGGCTAGGCTGAGCTCGTGCGGCCAGCCCAACATTGACTACCTGCCCTCGTCACCCTCATAGCCAAACAATCACAAAAAAGGCTTACCTGCACCGACGTGGTACGATTTGGCCTCAGGTTCAACTCTGAGGATGGTCTTCTCGGTTCCATGCGACTCTCCTTACTTGCTTTAAAGTTTAGACAACGAATTTCACGCTTACATGTCGGTTAGTGTGAAATAGGAAAAGAGATTGAAGGAAAATAGAGATGAAAAGATGAAATGGACGAACTTACCTTATTTGCTTCGGTTTCTGCCGTCATCTGGTGCTCCTTGGCTCGATTTCCCTTCCTTCCCCTTCCCTTCAGCTTCGACTTACATGACACTCTCGACTCTACTAATATCTCTTCTTTTCTTCCCTTACGGCAGCCATTCTCTGCTCTTTCCCTCACTCTCTCGCTCAACTATGCACCCTCCTTCTCTCATTTCCTCATCTCTGGTTTCCTCTCTCTCATTCCTTCTCTCATTTTCGGTTTCTCCTTTGAAAATGAAGAAAAAACCCTAAATTTTTCCGTATATACCCGTCTCTCTGGGTCATTGGATCTTGTAAGACTCGATCTGGGCCGTTGAACCTGAATAAAATCCTAGTCGTTGGATTCCTCAGACGGTTTGATCAGGACCGTCCATCTCCTGATTTCTTTTTGCCCCATTTTACTTCTATTTATTTATGCTTTTACCCTTTTTTTTTCTTACTTGTTTTCATTTAGGTCACTGAAATTAATAAAAACCTCTTAATTTTTAATATTTCTTTCATTTAGACCATAAATGCTAATTTGATTATTTATTTACATATTCCTTTTTATTTTATTTAGGGTTCGGATATTACACATTGAATTTTAAAATTTTTAATATTCACGTGTCGATAAAAATTTAGAAAAAAAATAATTTTAATTGGATGTAAATTTAATTTAACTATATTGCTACATTTAAATTTCTAAAATATTTACACTGAATTTTAATCTATATTTTTATGAAATTGAAACGCAAAGTAAATTTAAAGTTAGAAAATGTTAAAATTATTTTGTTTAAGTATTTATGTGAAATTAGATACTGCATTTAACTTCCGTATAATCCTAATTCTCATCATTTTTTATATAAGTTTTATGATATTTTAGTAAAAATAAATATATATTTCTAAATAATCTTCAATATGCATTGTAGAGAATTATCCAATTCTAGTTTATGGTAGGGGTTACGATGTGCTAGAGTCTTCAACTTGGAAGGAAAGATATTCGCTTTGAAAATAAACTCCCAAACAAGGAGAAAATGTTCATACAGAATATTGATGCCCAAATATTTGGATTTTAACTAATGGGAAGATTTGCCAGGGAAATTTAAACTATGGTTGGGAAGAAATCCAGAATTAAATTAATATGAAATTT